CAGCACAGTTGCTGTTTGGGGACTTGGAGCAGTAGGACTCGCTGTGATCATGGGTGCTAAGGCTGTCGGAGCCAAGAGAATTGTGGCTATCGATATTGTAGAAAGTAAATATGATATGGGTATGTTGGCTTGAATTTAGGAAAATACGCTTTAACTGTATTGTCTTTGCATATAGCTCGCAAGTTTGGAGCTACTGACTGCGTCAACCCGAAATCAGCACCATCCGGACAGTCCGTGCAAGCATGGCTAGTCGAGAAGTTTGATGGTGGTTTTGACTATACATTCGAGTGTATTGGTAATGTGCTGACTATGGTGAGTACCATGCTACTGTTATTCCTTCTAGCGCATATATTAAACATATTTATCTTTCTCAATCTTATATCTTACTAGCATTGCATTTTTATATCTCTATACCAATTCAGTAGTTTTATCTGATTTCAGCGTCAAGCTCTCGAAGCTGCTCACAAGGGGTGGGGTGTTTCCTGTATCATTGGAGTAGCTGGAGCTGGTCAAGAAATTTCCACCCGCCCTTTCCAGTTGGTCACTGGGAGAACTTGGAAAGGATCTGCTTTTGGAGGTGAAACCCTGACTTTGGGGATTTTCTGCTTGAGGTTTTACCAAGCAATTTGGAAGTAATGTATTTCAAATTTGATGGGGAAGGAGTTGAGGAAGGTAAAACATCATCTACAATATTTATCGTTCTGCACCCTTTACATATACCATTGTCTAACCTATGGGTGTGGCTCAGAGATCTATAGGTAGTGTCACTAGGTTGCATATCTTACAAATCAAATGTCTCCAATACACAAAACAAGTTGCCAACATCTGTTTTGTATAATGCAACTGCAATTAGATGAGCCTCCCTATGTTTTATCGCATCGCTTTCAAGAATCTGCTATAAAGAAGCCTCGCAAATGATCAACATTCATTATCCACCATTAGACGCATCCCTTCCAGCGATTTCTGCTGAACTTTAGGTTGAACTCCTCCATTCATTCCTCGCTGATCATTTGAGAACTTTAGTTGTGAGCTTTCCCAGGACTTTTAATGTTGCAGGCTGGAAAAGCGTTGACAGTGTTCCGAAGCTGGTTGATGACTACATGGCGAAGAAGATTAAGATAGACGAGTTTATCACTCACCAGTTTAAAATTGATGACATCAACTCCGCTATAGATGTGTTGCACAAGGGAGAGAGGTACGTTGAGATCAATCAGCACTGTTAGTTTTTCTAATAAATTTTAAATTTATCACTTTCTTATTCCTCTATCAAAGATATGTTGATAGTTGAGTTGATTTCAGTTTGCGTTCCGTGATGAGTTTCGTATAGGGAATACACTGCATTCTATTGTCGCCGGAATCGCTGTTACCTCGGTTTCATTATTTGTGATAAATTACTTAATTGTTTGTTATTTTTTATTTTGTGCCAATACCATTAGCGGTTCCCTTTGTGTCGAGGTGTACACATATACTGGTGTTATATTAAATAAACTAGTTTCAACTTTTGTTAAACTATGTTTCAATCAGTTTCGAAATGCTACGGGGCATTAACGACTGACGATATCTCAATATATTCTTTAAGATTATTTCTTATTGGTTTTTGCAAAGGAAGAGTTACTTGTCTAGATGGCCGCGTCAGTAGAAGACGTTGTGGCTAGTGTGCTGGAGGTCATACAAAATCAGAATATTGATGGTGAAGAAGCGAAAGCGTCTAAGATAAAGGAGGAAGCTAATCAGTTTTTCAAAGGTTAAAATTAGCAGTATTCTTTTTCTGATGTACTTTTTGATTTTGCTTACTTACCTCAGAGCAAATCTGCCATTCGCAACTAGTTTTACTATGTTTACGCAAAATTATATTACATCCAATATCCTCCCGAAAGCAGAGCGTATGAGTGTTGCAGCTCATTTCCTTGACCACGAATCGAGGTTTACAAGTAAATACGAAGTTTAGTGAAGACGATAATCATATGAGAAGAACTTGCTAATATAAAGTGTAGAGTCAAAAAGTTTCTGAATAAACGCTTTGAGAACATTTATGATTTGGTAACATCTTTTTCATTTATGTGAAAACTACGTAGTACTTTTACTAGGAAAAAAAATTTTACACTTCGTATCAGCATAACTATTCTCAATGAAAACCTAGATCTTGATTATTTTTTGAAATAGAATATTTGTGCATTTGAAACTCAAGCTATGTTTTCTTCGTCATTTTCCATGGATAATTTTATTTCCAAGTTCACTTATTGGATGCTTCGGGCTATCTATCTGCTTTTTTCATTGCATATGCAGGTGTGACGTACCTTTGGACACATCTTTTATTATAAAACCTTATAATAATACTTTTCTGTTATACTGTTTGCAAAATCAGCCCTAAAATT